CCTTCCTTTTTACGGGCCTCCCCACCTTTCATTCCCCCCCCCCCCCCCCCCCCCCCAGATCTTGTTTGGTCCCCGACATGGAGTCGTTGATAAAGAGGAGGGTGTTGGGGCGGCGGGGCATTGATGATGGATGTTTTGGTGCGTTGGTTGCTTCCAACCGTGCAAGAGACCACCACCATGCGGTGTAACATTTTTTGTCTCTTCGATTTTAAAGTGTTGGTACGCAGTTGTTCGTTTTTTTTGCGCTCTTCCCCTCGGTGGGGCTCGAAACCCTTCGTTCTTTTTTTTTTGGTTGGCCGGCCCTCGTTTTTTCGAGCACAGTCACACAGCATAGCATTTATTTAGGAAATCTGTTACTGTTTCTGCTTAGGGATAGGGTTAACCCTAACAGCGTAAACCTGATGCGCCCGGGAAGCTATTAGCCCGCCGTGCGGCGGCGAAATAGAAGCACCCGCCTCAGTTTCGTATTTTTCCCCGAATCTGCGGCCGCGTTTTCTTTTGCCCGCACACCCCCCCATCAGGCAGCACGGGTTAGATAGATGCGCTTCGCCAGGAGAGAGCCGTGTACATGTATGCATGCATGACGTGCACCTTTCGGCTGCACGGGCTTCGTGTTGCATGCTGTATGTAGGAGTAGAGGAGAGGGGAATCGGTGTTACCTCTGCGAAGGTGTTACCTCTGCAAAGCGCGGTGTCGCGTTTCTTTGTAGACTTGTGCCGAGCGCTCGTGGGAAAGGGGACGAGCGCTTGGCATTTATCTTGCCCCCCTGGCTCCCGCCTTGCGCTTGGGCGTTCCGCTCCTGGCTTACCAAGGATGTTTACCACCACCACCAGCGGCGGCAGCAGCAGCAGCTGCAGCAGCACGCGAGAGGTGGTTCAAGTTCGACGTAGATGGGCCGCATGCATGCGTGGCAGAAGATGGCAGCGTAGTCAACCAACTCTATGTATAGGAAACGTGAGCCGCAGATAGTTGCGCTTATAAAACGCAAAGAAGATATTTTTGTTTTGTGTCTCGGGGGAGCAATTTGTGCTCGTCGATCCCAGGGAATATAAAGGTTTTTGGACGGGGGAATTCATTCTTTCGGTTATTGTACGTAGCAAGGGTAGCAAGACAAGAGGGAAGCCTGAATGAAACATCCCCCTCCCCCGGTTTCGAGATTGTGTGACTCTCGGTACCGTAGGAGCGCTATTAATGGTGGGTAATCGTTGTGTTTAAGTGTTGTGCAGCCCTGTGCTCTCCAACCACTGCGGGAGTACGTACGTGGATCGGATTACGTGTTTTTTGTTGGTATTCCTTGTGTTGTTGACGAAGAGTTTTTTTTTTCTGGAATGCATGTATGTGCATCGCGGGGTGTGGAAAGTGTTTCGTCCATCAGCGCACCCCTCCCTCTCCTTGTTCAAGCGAGTTGCAGTTTTGTGACGTGTTTGATTTCAGTTTGCTTTTTCTGTTACGTGCACCCGATGCGTTACCGTACGTATGTGGTCGCGACGCGTTGTTTCGTCATCGCGATGTGTAACTAAACTCCATTGGGGATTGGGGAGGCCTGGTTATCCTAGCATACACTTGTCTTGAAACAATCCAAGAGTAACTTGTGGAAACTCGCGGCGGGCACGGTCCTATTCAACCATGTAGTAACTCGTTGTTGCCATCTGATCGCCCCCAGTCGACAATTTGGAAGCAAAATCGAGGGCTTCGAGCAAACTGACTGGTGGTCAAAACTGCCGATTGAATTTCACATTTCGTTCATGCAGAACAAACCGTATTTTTTTTTTCTTGGCAAACAGAACAAATTCATCTCTTCCACAATGAAATCTGGCGTAGATTGTACTTGAAGCAATGATTTCGTAGCTTAGACTATGTATTGCAAGGATAGAATTTCCATTCGACATTACAGCATCCATCGGTTGTAATAGCCCGTGTTCGTCAATCTGGTTGAATGAATCCCAATGGGAAACTTAGGGTTGGATGCGAGTGTGCATGTATGTATTGATAGTAGACTGGTAGCGCCGAGCACGCTTTTGTACGCGCTCGATCTTCTCTTTTTAGAAAGTAAACATAAACCTCACAGAAAGATTATTTGGACTACAATATGTACTTCTCTTTTGCAAGACAAGTAAAAAAAATAAAATCGTAGACATACATGTATTTTCTGACGCTATGAGTCCATTGCTAATCTGTCTCAGACTCTTTTCTATGATAGAGATGGTTTCGTTGTGTCATATTAAGAAAAAAAAAAAAAAATGAAGTCTTCTAATATTCATGGAAAAAGAATGAAACCGCCGCATTTCGATCGCGCCGCGTGATCGATCGCCCGTCTCCCTTTGTGCGGCTGAAATTCATGGACGAGGCAAATCAAGCGAGGACCGTGGACGCCGCCAACTTCGTTGCTGATTGCCCACACAATAGTACTCGAGGATCATTCACTGCAGTGATGGTAGAACTGCAGCACCAGCGGTGGCGCTCCCATCGCCGACGTGGGTACATGATTTCACATGATGACGCCTCTCCCAATCATGTGCTGTAGTCTAAGAACAAATCTCTCAGACTATTCCCAGCATAAACAACAAAACACATGTTTGTACGATGCGTGTAGCAGTACATTCCAGCAGTTGTTCCCGTGGTATGGGGAGTGCATACTTTGGTATTGAGTCCGACCCCCGGATTTACCCTCCTCGCAGATGTCGTCCAAGAAGCTCACGACCCGAACAGTCTCCTGCACGAGGGCTTTGGCTATGTCGGGAGATGTGGAGCAGGCGGTGTTCCAGGCGAGTGGGCGAGTATAACCTTCCCGCGTATGTATATCTACCGTAGTCTTCATGCGACTCAGCTCGGTCTACGATTTCCTGCTGTTGATCCTACAGTCTACTGCTAAGAGAACCGCAGACTTCCTCACCCCATTCACCATGTGACATATTGTATTAATCCGTTTGAATGCCGAACAACATTTTTCACTCTTGAGCATCCATTTATTCACAGCGGACCCGCTTCTCCCCGGCGATCGAGGACGCCGACACCTCACGATGGCCGGTTCCGCTACCGAACAATTCCGCCCTTGTCGAAGGGTGCTGACCCCGGGCTTTTCCGGAACGGAGGAGGCCCGCCCACAAGGACTGGCGAGAATCGAGTCCTCTCCGCGTGTGACTCCCAGGCCCACCGGCCTCCGCACGAACGCGAAGGCATCGCGCCGATCTGGATATGACATTCCAGACCCAGGATTGGTGGTGAGGGGTCGCACCCGGTCCAGCCTGCAGAAGTATGTTTTGTGGGTGTGGGGGGGGTTCGGTTCGGTGAACGGCTCAATGGCAGGAATTAAGTCCTCTCTTCCGCAATTAATTGCTGCAAGGTTTGGCCCGATTTTGCGGCGCGTCGCTTGTACCGGAAAGAGCGACCTGTGAAATTGGACGTACTGTAGTGATAACTACAACTATCACCACCCAGCGCTTCTTGAGCGTTGATACACATGTCAGCTGGTGGTGGTTATCTCACGGCGCGCATGTAGCAGTGTATACAATAGGAATACCGTCATAGTGTACTCTCCGATCGTCGTTATGGCAACGAATCGTGCTCATGCCTTATCACCTTTCCACTTCGCCCCCCCCCCCCCCGCGCGCGCTTTGTGACCACCTTGTTCAGCTCCAGTCCAAACATGTGGTGATGGACGACACGGGGCGACCCGCCAAGGAACGAGTTTCCGGAGAGCTTACCTTAGAGAAGGCCTTTGGTACGTGCGTTGCTCGAGCAAGGTGACACTCCGTCGACTCTACCGCTTCACTATTGCCCCCGATCTCTGCCATCCATTGTATTATGGTTTCGAATTATCATCGTCGTTCACACTTTTACCCTCACCAAAACAGGGTTGAAATGATGCCATATTTAATCACAGCAGCTTTGGTGCTTGTCGCCGTCTTCAGGTTTGAAACGAAAAGTGAACTCTCAACGTGAGAAGCGCGGAGGGGTGCCTGCGAAGGCTAACCCCGGGGACAAGCTCTTCCATCATGTCGACTACTCCCCGGGGTATCACAAGACCGGAGAAATCATTGTCGGGAGCTCTTTTTGCAGGTAGGAGCGGTCCGTTCCTTGACTTGTGGCTTATCCCGCCACATGGAGATACCTAACGCCTCTCCTCTGGTCGACAACCGGGTATTTGTGCGAACGATATGTCTACCTTCGGCGAAGCTTGACAGGTGCTGTGCAGGTGTTCAGATAGGTCTGACAACAGAGGTTTTTCATGCGAACGCGTGCCCTAAGGGACATACTTGTCTCCCATTTACCGTCCCAGCCCTTCCTTGCGAAATATACGCGGACACACAACAGGACGAGACACCGTGGCGGTAGTGGGCACGTGGGCCCTGGGCAGGCCTCCCACCCCGCCCCCGTCCCGGAAGAAGTCGGGTACGCCCTTACCTACCGAAAGCCGAAGATGACGTTCGACGAGACGCGGCAGGCCGCGCAGTACGTGGAAGATCTGAGAGGAGTGCTTGGGCTCACGGTATGAGAGTACTGCAGGGGAAAACGTGTATGTAATGCGTGAAGTATATGGTAGCACTCTCGCGGTTGGTCCATGCGTATTGTGCTTGCTAAAAATAGGAAATTCTGTCGCGGTTGGTCCATACGTATTTGTGCTTGCTGAAAGTAGGAAATCTGTCACGGTTGTAGGAAATTTATCGCGGTTGGTCCATACGTATTTGTGCTTGCTAAAAGTACGAAATTCTGTCGCGGTTGGTCCATACGTATTGTGCTTGCTAAAAGCAGGAAACTCTATCAGCGATGGCCGTGATGTCTTCAGCGAACAAGGCTATTGGTGTAGCCTAGACTACAGCAGTATAGTCTCGACAACTTACGTGCGTGTCAGGTATAATAACGGCCAAGCACTCAACGTTTAGCTTGCCTGGAGCACCATGTCACCGTCACCCTTATCCCCGCAAACCTTGATGATGCGTGATGCTTCCAAAGTGCCATCCAACAATAATACATGTCTCGCCTACACGACAGGAGGAAGCACCCGTTCCCGAAGCGGCCGCCGGACACGAAGCGGGGGCGAGCTGGGAAGAGAGAACTGGAATGCATACTTGGAAAAAAAAAGATAAATCATCGCCAGATTCAGCAAGGGTAGAGCGGGCTGCTGAAGAGGCAACCCCTGGGAAACAGTCCTAAAAGCGAGATATCCTACGGTCGAGACAACCACTGCGGTCGCCAAGCGTTGCGAGCTTCGGAGCAAGAACGCGGCATGCACACACACAACCAGGAAACCCGGCGGCGTTGGTTCGTCGCTTATCATGAACAATTGTGGAGCTCCAACTTTGTGACGCCCTCGTGTTGAAGATTCTTGGCGCAACCTTGCCCCCCGACCCCCGTTGTCGAACATGCAGACGAAGTCAGCCACGGCACATTCATCACCAAAGGCCTTGTCTCGCTTGTAACCAACGACAGGAACAGACATGGAGCAATGTTGCTCCGATAACCCCTACGCACCAACCAATGATGTCCATTGTCCCAACGTCAGAAACCGTGATAAACAAGACGGCAAGTGCCGGTTTGGAGGGTGGTATCAAGAGCACACATCCGCCTCGACAAAGGAAACATCCAACGATCCACCACTCATGTTTTACCATATTTCTGCCGGGTAGCCATGTGCGTGGCTCGAAAGCATTGGCGTCGCAATCGTGTGCGCCTGTCACCTCCGCCACCAAATCACCTTCCTTCTTTCCCTCCCTCTCTTTTCTCACGTGCAGATAGGCCAACGTTCTTCTTTGTGGCCATTTTTTTTTTGTTTTCCCTCGACCGGCCGTAGGACCGACACCAAAACCACACGCACGAGTCGCACTCCAACATATAAGCGACACCAAGCACAACTCCGTGCAATTACGGAATTCTCTGAGACAGGCCCCATCTGGTAGGCAAACGGATCAGTCACCCCACTGTTTACCTTTCTCTTCTGCGATACTACGATTCTATCCCTGCCCACGAGAAGAAGAGTAGCCGCCACTGGTGTCTGCTCGTGTACATGCATTTCTTCCCGACCAGCACCACACAGCAACAACCACACCTACCGCCACAAAAGCAACCATCGACAACAACCAAGCTCAATAAACAAACTATTGGTTGGCTTGTTTTGTTTTAGTTTCGGGTGTTTTTTCAGTTTTGGGGACGCAAAAATTTGGACAAAACAACCACAACAACCAGCCCAAAAAAAAAAAAACACATTCACGTCGCAGCAGCCATGTCACAGCTTTCCGTTTTTTCTTGGGTCGCCATGATCATCATCATCGTCGCCACTTCTTTCGGCCTTGCCGTCATTGTTCGTTGCCCCCCCCCCGGCGGCGGCGGCGGCGGCGCCGCCGCCTGATCGCGGTGCCGTCTTCGGAACGTCCGCGGCGCAACGGAAGCCTTGATTCGAGGTGCCGCTGTCGATATCGGACTTGGTGCGGGCGGCCGGACGGTACCTGAGAAGAGGAGGAAAACGACACGTTCCGCCGGAAAAAACGGGTCACCGCCGCCGCCGGGATATGCAACGGCTAAGCACGTTTGTTGTTTTGTCTACGCGCTGGTTAGGTATTTCGTTGTCGTGCGTGGTGTTTCGAGCGGCGGGGGAGAGAGCGCAAAATGTCGTGCTTTCAACACCGCCTACAGCTTCCCTGTGGTATTGCCGTGACATAGGTAGTGTAGGTCGAAGGGCTTCGGGTTTACGGCAGCTAGCGCCACATATACCGCTTGCTAGTCGCGCAAAGTGCCGGGAGTGGGGGAACCTCCGGCCTGGCCGGGTACCTGGCGGGACGAGCCCCTATTTAGTGATATACCAGTAGCCATGGTGGCTGGCGGCAACGGTAAGCATATGAATACGTACGACATCATCGCAGGATGCGAGAACAAAAAAAGCATGGTATACTCGCGAAGCTCGTTGCTGGCATCCCAAACACTGGGCCGAAGACACGGTAGCGCCGCAAAAAAGCTCTCGAGGTTCCACCATCCGCGTCAGGCAGGCACACGTGGACGGTACCGCAGCAACCGCTTTCAGAGGAGCCCTCCGCCAGCGCCCTCCGCAAGCGATCCGACCACGCTTGTGCAGCAGTATGTAGCCAGACGACGAGCAGGAGCTGCTCCATCTCAACTTTCGTCGGTGGTCAGGAGAGAAAGAAACACAAATCTACGTGTGTAGGGTCGTGCTGTTTTCACACCTGTAGCAGTAGGTGTGGTGGCACAGGAAAGACCCCCCCTTCTTGGTCTTCTCCGTTCCCCTTTTGGGGCCCCGTGGATTGTTCTGACAGGGAGGGAGGGAGGGAGGGAGGGAGGGCAAGGGAGTGCCAGGAGTAAGGAGGGGAGGGGGGTGGTATATCTACCGATGGCCTTACTTGCAAGGGTCAAGCCGACTCTTATGTCCGGCTTGGCTACAATTTCAGCGGTGGTCCATGGTTTGTCATTCCTCAACGAGACAATTAAGCATTTACATTGGTCAGCCGATCGGCGTGGTCAATGCAACTCGAAGAAACAAACACGCAGTTCACCGCACACGTGCCCTCGTCCTCTGGCAAGGGTTGGGGGTTGCAACCTCGGCTGAACCCCCATCTCATTGCGCAGGCAAGCATCCCGGGTTGGGTGGGTGGGGGTAAGCTCGACTAAATCTCGATCCCATCCCGCCGGCCGCACCTGCTTGTACTTGGACCGATCGGGGGTCCACCAGTCCTCCACCCACTCCCACGCGTTGCCGACGGCATCTCTCAGACCCAGGGAGTTCTGCGGAGGGAAGGCGTCGACGGGGGACGTGTAGGGGAACCCATCCTCTGCCAGGTTGAGGGTCGGAAATGTGCCCTTGAAGGGGGAGGAGGGAAAAGCAAAGAGAGAGGTTAAAAAGAAATGTTGTAGCTGTACAAACGACGGGTGGTGGGGGGTTCGAAAAAAGGCATGTTGCAGCTGAGCACACGGCGGGGCGGCCGGATTGAGGCGCACCGGGGGGGTAGCCAAACATGAAGTGCAACGTCGTAGGGGCAGAGATGGGGGGAAGGAGGGATGTACTCATGCAATGCATGGTTGTCACATCATTGTGGCACAGGCGGCACGTTGCTCTCTGAGAACAAGCGGCTCGACGCGACAACCCTGACGAAGACCATGCACATCACGCAGCGCCGCCCTCACTGCTGAAGGGGTCGTGAGACGGGTGGAGGAATAACCGACAGCAAAGCACCGCATTTCGTTTTGGGCGCAGCGTCCGGGGTCCGCACCCTTGCCTATGAAACCGCGACCACCCTTGCAAAGTATTTTCTTGTGGTGCCGTGGCTCCTCGCTGATCGATCACGCTTCACCCATTCGCAGGCAACAACAACAACAGCAACAGCAACAACAACAACAAAACCATGATCAACAATGAGCACGCCTCTCAGTCGCGCGTACCTGCCATATGTTCGCGCGGTGCTGGCCCTCCGGCGTAAGATCGTCTCCCCACGGGTACCGCGGCATTGCCCTTCCCCTTTCCTCGCCCTCGCCCTCGCCTGCTGCTTCTACCGGGTCGCCCTGAGCCGCACGCTCCCACTCCGCCTCGCTGGGCAGTCGGCCGCCCCTCCAACGGCAGTACGCTTTCGCGTCGTTCCAGGACACCTGAATTTTGATTTTTACCGCGTATTTGAGCACCCGGTTCGTCGTTAGGCTCTCAAGTTTCATCAAGTACGTTTCATAAGAGCGTAGTACGACTCAGAGACCTAGATGTTGTTGTTTGTCTAGTCAATATTGCCGGGTTTCCGGCCCACGTTTGTAGCCACCATCGGCATGAGGGTAGCTGCATGTTGGATTGTCAATAACCAACCGCATGGAAACATGGTTCATTGGCGAACCCCTCGGTTCTAAACACGTATTGGCATGCTTGGACAGAAACGTTGTCTGTGGGTGCTTGCAGACAAATGTTCTTCGGGTGGTTCGGCCCTTTGCAGTGTGTTGTTGGCCTTGGAGTGGGGCTGGTAACACGATAATCGTGGCGGGGGGGTAAACGTCGGTCGTCGATAACGTCAAGATGGATAGACAACAGCTGGAAGAGAGACAACAGAGAGAGCGCGAAGTTATTTCGTGCCAATGTACTTGTGCGGAACAAACACGTCTATTCCCAAGCTCTAGCTTTAGCTTGGGTCTCAGTCGATCAAAAAAAAAAATTCCGTCTGTCTGTGGAGTTTTCAGTAGCATAGCGGACCTCTTGCGCGACTGGGTCGAAAAGGCCGATCTCAGCCCACACTGCGAACCTCCGAGAACTACCAGCAGTTCTGGGTAGCTGAGACGATTTCAAAACCTCTCACAGTCGTTTGAGCAGCTATCGCTTGCTGTGGGGCGATAACCAGTTTCTCCGTCGACAATAAGATCTGCGTTACATCGATCGTACATCGGAACGACCAGATTGGTTGACTTGTCGTTGAGGGTCCTCTTTTTATAGATCTTTTTGTATGAGAGTCGTCTTCATTTTTTTCGCCGCCCGCGCCAAACCTTCTTTTTTACAGATCTTTTTATATAGAGTCGTCTTCTTTTTTTCGCCGCCCGCGCCAAGCCTTGCTTGCTGGCCACGCTTCTCTCGTGTCCCGCGCCAAGCCTTGCTTGCTGGCCACGCTTCTCTCGGGATGCTGACCGACCTCAGCACACAGCTGGACATTCTGTGTACATACAGCAGGGGCTGCTTTTGTTCTGTTGTTGCAGCTTTCTGCATGGCTCTTTTGTGGTGCGAAAATTAGCATTTATTGTTGTTGTTGATGTGCGGACGAGAGGACGAGAGTGGTAAGCAAAAGCAGTACGTACCTGCAAATCTCCGGCAACTACCAGCAGTTCTGGGTAGCTGAGACGATTTCAATATCTCTCACAGTCGTTTGGGCAGCTATCGCTCGCTGTAGGGCGATAACCAGTTTCTCCGTCGACAAAAGGATCTCATTGGAACGACCAGACTATTATTAGTTGATGACCTGTCGTGGAGGGTCCTCTTTTTATAGAGTCGTCTTCTTTTTTTTCGCTGTCCCGCGCCACGCTTCTCTCGAGATGCTGTTTTAAAACATCCTGTCGTTACTCTATCGATACCTCACACCCACCCCTACTCACGCCGACGCAGACACAGACAGGCAGACTCAGCTCCTTCGCCTGTGCTGTATCTGTTGTTCGTGCGTGCTGAAAAATGGTACACACAGCAGCAGCATACAGCAGCAGGAGCTGCTTTTTGCTTGTACAGCTTTTCCTGCAGGGATGGCTCTTGTTGTGCGGCAAGTTAGTTGCATTGTTTGTTGTTGATGCGGACGAGAGGACGAGAGTGGTAGGCAAAAGCAGTACGTACCGTGTTAAAGGGACAGACAGAGTGCCTACCGTGTGTACAAGGGACAGACAGAGTGCCTACCGTGTGTACAAGGGACAGACAGAGTGCCTACCGTGTGTACAAGGGACAGACAGAGTGGAACAGAGTATAGGGGTTGTGCGCGGTGAGGAGGAACGACTTTCGAAGGCAAATACATGCGGTATGGGTCACAGATCTTTTCGTCACGGATCTTTTGCCTAGCCGCGTGGCCCCCTGGGCCAACTCCGCGCTCGCCCCCACATCGGTCACTCCCTCTCCCTTTCCACTCCCTCTCATCCTCCGTTAGAAGCCCGGATTCTTCACACATCATGTCGTCGGAAGCGCAGCAGATCGCCGAAATGTGGGGCGACTTCGAGGAGGAAGTGGCCCAGATTCCTCGCGTCATGCCCAAGCTCACCCCCGAAGAGGCCGCTACCCAAACATGCCTTTACTGCCGCGGCACTACCTTCGAGACGCCTGGAATCAGGCAGTGGGGGACGAGGTGAGACCTTGTACGCAGCCACGCACCCAGTGGGGCGTTCTGTTGCTGTCTGTTGGCGGCCGCCGTTGCCGTGTGCTGCTGCTGCTGCTGCTGGTTACCATTTGCGCATTTTGCGCATTTTGGCATGCCTGACTATTATCTATTCCATGTGTTCGATGTACAGTTTATTCAAGATGTAATACGCCCCAAGAGCGGTTGGTGATTTTTTTTTATCCCTACAAAAACCATGCGCCAGCAACGAGAATCACATGCGCACGGCCCGACGGCGTTTGCTTCCACACGCCAATAATAAGTGCATGCATGCAAGAAGCAGCCACAAATTAAACGCCCCCCTCTCCACTCATTTTTGCATGAGGCACGCCAATGAAGCACAGCCAGTCACCGGTGCACCTCGTTGCCCTCCACTCATTTTTATATATATATTCTTATTAGCGTCAACCAATTTTCCTCTGGCCTTTCGCTCCCTTCCCTTCTTTCTGTTTGCTTCGGAATAATCCAGTTGCACTGACTGCCAAGAGTCCATAATACGCTCCTTTTCTAGCTCTTTCGAGACGATGAACAGGATCGCCGCACGCTTCTTGAACTTGCAGTTCTGGCAGAACACGTGCTCTGCCTTTCCGACGCCCATGACGTCGCGCAGCTCCTTCGTGGAGTCACAACCCGAAGCCGCGCAGGTGAAGTCGGACCCTTTCGGCAGATCCTTTCCCACGCACAGGGCCCCGTCCGCGTGCAGGTACACGGTGCGGGCCATCTTGTTGTAGGGGTTT